ATGAGTCCTGCTGTGTTTTGTCAAGTCCCTGCCCAGCTGTTTAACTCTCTGCACAGCCTTGTTTTGACTGATACCACCAGGTTCTGCAAAGCACCTTCCTGAACTACCACTTTATATATATATATTTTTTTTATATCTATAATTAGCGATGCTATCATCGTAATTAAAATCGTCTTGGAAGCGTTCGTGCACATTTACATTTGAATTGACACATCCAAAATTGTAGCGATAATGAAAACAGTTTAAGGGGTGGGGGGGGGAGATAGCTTTTTTTAAACCCCATTGCATATGAAAGAGAGTGTCAGCTATCAGGGACCTGTTAAAGTTTTAATTTGCCCCCTCTGCTTCGCTTTCGCTTTAATTTCTTTTCCTTCGCTAAGCAGCATTTTCATGGCTGGCTGCCTTTCTTTGTTTATCACAATAAACCATGCAGAGGAAGAAGGTTATTGCACTGGAGGAACGGCGTTGTCTCCTCCCCTTTTGCCCTCGGGGCTTCCCTTTTCACCTATACACTCATACCATTTTGAACATTATAAACTGACGTAGCCCCAGGGTTATTCCTGCCTGGCATGACGATTTCTTGGCAGAATACCATACTGATGGAGGGGAGTGTTTATTTTGGATGACGCTGGATTGAATCGAAGTGATGTGCACCTGTTTGTAATTCAAAGAACTCATCAATAGCCTGCCATATTATTTTGAGGGGTGATAGCGAGTGGGTAGACTCAAAATAGTGTCCTCTAGAATAGAGCCACAGGAAAAAAAGAGGCCTGATTGAGAGGGGAATGATAAATCGTTGAAGGCTGGCAGCCCTTGCAGCTTGACAAACGTTGGGGTCAGAGGTGCGATAGATTTTGCTATTCCGGAAACAAAGCTCCGAATAGCAATTTCACTGCCTTTTAATTTTCTTCATCCTCAAGTGCTGAATGTGGGAGTTGACAACAGATTGCTGTAAATAATGTAATTGGAAATCTCTGTGTTATGGAAAAGCAGATGAATGCAAATAACGAAGCCAAAGAGCGCTTGCTCCTTCTCCCTGCCAGTGGTTTGCAGCGTGCCAGAGCCACGGTGGAGAGCTGGGACAAAGTGAGTGTGTGGGCATGTGCTGCGTGAGGGCAATGGCAACGAAGTCCTCCCAGGGTGGTTGCATTTGCAGGTGACTTTCTCTTCATTAAGCATTGTAGCCCACGAGAACCTGCTCCCCCGCCTTTTGGCTGCCAGGGGATTGAGCCGATAACGCTGATGTCAGCATGGGAAGCTAAAGGTAGCTGTTTTCCTCTTGCCCAGCCTGGGCTGCTGCGAAGGAAGGGGGCTGCAGAAAGAACAGCTGCTGCGTAGCAAGCGGGAGGTGGTAGAGCAAATTATGGCTTTGCAGCGAAGATCCTTTCTAAGCATCTTTGTTGTGGGGACCTGTGGCTTGGTGAAGCGAACTCTGGGAGGGCTGCAAGTCTTTGTTACGATTCCTTCAGCTGTGATCCTGTCCCTCCATCAGCGAGTCCTAGTATTTTCTTTGTTTAGAAGCTTGTTTTAGCACTTGTATGTTCGAAGAAGGAGGAAGAAGTTTGAGCAGTAATGTGCGTTTCACCAAGGCCCCGTGATAGTCTCTTAGGTCTCATTCACAGGCTGCACTTGAATGTGCTAGATGAAAATACACATCTGCTGCTGACTGTCTCATCCTGTAGCTATAATGGTGGCTTGATGCAACTTTAATAGGAATATCATCAGGGTTATAAAGGGCATTGAGGTCTCTGGACTTGTCATGGCCATGGCCATTAAATCGGTTTGAAGTAATAAAAAAAGGAGTTTGTTGCTAAAGTTTCTCTTCTCCCCTGTGTCCTCCCCCACTTTGCTTTAGGGTAATTTAGGTGTCGGGGGAGGCAGAAGGACAGGAGCCTGGAGGAAGTCAGTATTTAGAGTGGATTTTGGTTGTATTTGGCTGGGCCAGTCTGAGCACAGTGGGCTGAGGACATCTCTAGCCAGTGAACCGTGGTGTGGCTGCTCTGTCCTGAGCCATGCACTGGGCCGCCACGTCCTGATCTGCGATAATGCAAGTACAGATCTTTACTCCCCTCCGTCAAGCACTCAGAGCGAGGGATGATCAATGTTACTTAAAATTGAGTTGTTGCAAGAGACTGGACAGGGCTGGCTGTCCCTCTTGCTGATGCAATTCCAGCTTCACCCAAACTCAGGCTGCCGTAGGGGCCCGATTTCACCTTACATGCCAACGAGACTGGTGGGAGCAAAACTCTCCTCTTTGGAAAGAGCAAACTCCTGCTAATAAACAGGAGCTTTATTCTTGAAGCGCTGTTATAGATTTATTAATTTAAAATCAAGCAAGAACTTTGCTGCCGGGCCACTCTTGGCGATCAATGAAAGGACCATCAATAGCAGTCAGCAGCATTGATTTGTTTTGATACATGGATGCTAAAACTGACTTGTGTCCCCATGTGCAGAACAGAACGTGAACCACGGTCATTTCAGATGGGGCACGCTGCTAACCTAGGGGGGCAGAGGTACTAAATTAATATAGGGGAGAGCATCTTGCTGCAGCTATTTTAGAGCTGATCTCGAAACAATTTCAGTACTGTGGTAATGAGTCCAAACTCTATTAGAAGCACCAATTTAAAGTGAATATGCGTGCATAGAATCAATTTTATACTAGTATTACTACATCAGAGCTGGGTGTATTGTATCATTAACTCTTTCTATAACTGGGCTTGCTTTGGTGTAGTGAGAAACCTGGGGGTGATCAGCCTTTTCTTACAGCAATCCTTGCTGTGTCTGATTAGTTTTATAGTGTGCCTAAATTGTAGTTCGCCTGAAGATAATAGGTCTCTTCAGTGCTTCAAATTAAATTACAGATGTTGCAAGGTCTGTTCAGAGAACAACTGCAAGAAAAGGTTGCTCCTTCCCCAGCAGTTTGTGTGAGGAAGCTACGTGTGCCCCAGCTGCCCAGTGTGCATCAGGGGACGGACAACCTGCCCTCCTCGAGCTATGGCACTGATCAGGGTGCAAACCCCGTGGCTGCAGCAGTCCCTGTTCTTCCCATTGTGTCCTGTGTCTGCAGCTGCTCCCAAGGCCTCCTGCCTTCCTGAGACAAGGGAGAGCAGGGCTTGCCCAACCTGCAGCTCCTGCATTGTGCATGTTTGCCTGAGCTGCGGTGGGCTAAGCTCCACATAGAGACATCTGTCCCATGTTTTAAAAATGCATTGCGTTTCCCAGTTCTTGGTTTTGCAGGGATAGCAGAGCGCGTTCCTCCAGGGTCTCTGTGCAGCACTGTCCTGTGGTGCTGTACAAGGTGTACTAAACGCTGCGCAGTCCCTACGTGCTGGCAGAGAGGACAGAAGGAGCTGTGTCAGCTTGTGCCTTGACTGGCTGAGTTGCTGTTTTGGCTGTGTGCATGCTGGTGAAGGAGCTGGTACAGTCTCCTGCCTGCCAAGAACCCTCTGTAGAAGAACTTGCAGTCTTCTCTCCTTTGGGGAACTGGCTTCCCAGCTTTTCGCTTGTATGGGCTGGGCTGTTACCCAGCAGCAAAATGTTGGTGTAACTGCAGGGTGCTCTCACCTCCTGGTTTGTGGATCCTGCTGTGGCGCGCACGAGCGTCTGTCTTGCACTCTTGCAGTAACTGACATGTGCTGGGTCACAGGGATGCCGTACTTTCTTCTGCTGGGTGATTTTCTTTTAAAAGTACACTACCAGGTTCCCCTCAGAATTCGGATTGCCTTCACTTGGCTTTCAAGAGGCCAAACACAGAGATTTTTAGCGCTCTGTGTCGATGACTCTGGACTAGGAACCAGGCAACCTGCTGAGCAATCTCCTCCCATCAGTGAAATGGTGACGGTGGTGTCCTGCTTTTTTGCCTGCATGAGAAGAACTTCTCATGAGTGCCAGGTGTTGTCACTGCCCTCTGCTTTGATTAAGCCCTAAATGCAGATTGCAAGTGTATTGCTGTAATTAGGGATATCTGCAATTGCACCCATTGCCATCATGGTGATACTATATGCAAAATGCTTTGGGAACTTGGAGTAGAAACACTGATGATCTCCTTCACTCTGAACAGAAGTGCAAGGCTTCTACCCCCCTGCATGAAATGGAAAATGGTATTTTTACTATATTAACTTATTTTTGCCCTGACTGTCTCATTAGCTCATTATTAGACTGCTGGAAGGCAGTCTAACAAAAGAATTAGGTTTTTAGAGGCCATTTCTCCTTGTCTGAGCTGCCATCCTTTTCCTTTCCTCTGGCTCACAGCAGGCTTTATATTAAATATACTTAATAGAGCTCCTTCATCATAAGCTACATTAAAACTAAATTGGAGAGTAGAGGGCGTTCTTACAGGAGATATTACAGTTTAGCACTCACAGTCCGTTTCCTACTGCAGGTTCAGGTTATTTCAGTGTCGTTCTTCTCGTTCGGGGGTTTTCAAGCACACTCGTTAAATGATCTGGCTTAGCCTGAATTGCTCTGTGAAATGAACGCCAAGGTTGTGCCATTCGGTTCGGTACGGCACGAGGCAGCATTTCTGCTGTCCTGGCATTGCCGCTTGCATCCCCCAGCTGCTGCCAGTCTTTGACTGTCTCAGAAGTACAGCGACCCAGGCTGAGGGACCTGGCCCAGGAGAGACTTGGCAGGACTTGCTGTCCCTCCAGCCAGTGAAAGACTTGTTTTACTCTAAGCAGAACATGTGCTTAGGGCTATTGCCACCCATAGCATGTGCCTGCTCTCTCCAGGAAGCTTTTCTTTTAGCGCATTCCCAATGGGAAAGCAACAGATGCAGAATCTGAACTGCCTGCTGCATAGTGCAGGCCAGGGAACTTCATCCTGATATCATTGTAGTGAGCCTGGGAACGTGTGTTTAACTCAAGCGCAGCATCAGAGAAACATCTTGTCTTGACCCAGAGAATGTTAGAAGCTCTGCGGTTTGCATGGTCACCTTCTGCTCCTCTTTCAATCTGTGCTCATTCAAATTTGCGATTTTTATTTTTTTTTTCGGTGGTGGAAGAAGGACCAAGGTGAAGCTGGGCTGACAAGGTGTGGGGAAGAATTTGGGATGCTGTGGTAGTTGCAGAGTGCAGGGGAACCGTTGGGCTCTGTGAGCTGGAAGGCTTGACCCCTCCGTGTTTGAGTGGGGTCAGGGTAGCTCAGAGGGAGTGGCTGGGCTGAGCTTGGCGGGGAGCTCGTTTGGTGCTGGCTGTGCTCTCTTGCTGTAAAAACCCAGGCTTAAGGTGTTGTGTCTCTGTCTCTAACAGGTTTGGAAGAGGTCTGGTGCATGGTTCTACAAAGGTCTGCCCAAGTATATCATGCCTTTGAAGAGCAGCAGCAAATCCAGTGAGCTGCACTCACAGCCTTGGCAAAGCGAACCAGCCATGCCGGAGGCAGAGAACGTCGGGACCAGCCGATCCTTCACCTGGGCCAGGGGAAAAGGTTGGTTGTCTGCTCCGTGCCCAGGAAGCAGGTGGGGAGAAGGACCTGCCTCCTACTGTTGCTAGCAGGACTCAGCTAGTAGGGGGGGGCTCTCCGTTAGAGGTAAGGGGTAGCCCGCAAGATGTTGTGTGTTTCCCATGTGGGCAGTGTTGGGTTTTTTTATACTATGGTATGTTTTTCAGGTTTCACTGTTATTTAAGTGCACATTGGTGGCCCAGACTAGCCTCAGTCCTCCTGGATTCCCTGTCCTTCAGTCTACCCTTGCTTGCTTCCATTCCTGGTGACCCCCACTGTTTTGCTGGGACTGCCAAGGGAGGGATGAGCCGTGAAGCAGACACCTGTCTGCTGTTGCAGCCCAAAGAGCTCCTCCTGCTGAGCTACACAGGATGGTGCCACTGATGGACATCGTTGTGCAGCCAAGGCTGACAAAAGGCTGGTCTCATTCTCTGCCTCCTTGGGGCTGCTTGCTCCTTGTTTCTGCTGCTCTACAGCACCACTGGGCACGTATTTCAAGGCTTTGAGCTGGGTTAGAAATGACACGACCAGCATCTCCCTGGGGTTTTCCTGGGACCTGGAGCAAGTGGGTGGGAGCAAGCTGATGCTGGCTGTGTCCTTTTGTGCCTGAGCCCCTGAGCAGGTGAGATCAGCAAAGGGTGAAGCTCCTTCCCTGGGCCTTGGGGAGGGGGCTGAGGTTTGCGGCATGGAGAACTCAAGGCTGAGTTGTTCTTTAAATGTGTCCTGGAGAAACTGTTGATTAACTTAGCCCTGTGCAGGGCTGGGGCCAGAGCGGTGACAAGCCTGAAGATTTATTAGCTTCAGCACTCACATCCCTGTTCTTTGAGGTAGACCTTGATTGAAGTAGACTATTGTATCACATGTGGCATCTTGGATCGCTGCCGTGTCAGATCCCATTCACAGCACTCCGTTGTAGGGCTTTTTTCCTCCCCTCCCTTCCATCTGCCCACCCTGTCGTTGCTCGTATGCCCACGCCAGTGCTGTGCCTGGAGCCAGCTGGGGGGGAAACAGCAGCTCGGCATTGAGGAGCTGAGCACTCAGGGTCATTAACGCAGCAGTGGATGGATGCGGCAGAATTAAAGCTGCTGCCAGTCTGCTTTGATTTCTTTTCATTTCTTTCTGGTGCGGATTAGCAGAACTGTCTGGCCTTTCTTCCCTTCTGTCTTTTGCTATTAGATCCCCTCAAGTGGAGAAGACTTCTTCAGCGTACCAGCAGCATACACTCTTCCACATCAAGATAAATCTTATCAGTAGTGGAGGGGGAAATAACCTTTTAATAAAGAGGACTCAGGAGAGTCGGGTTTACAAACCTTCTCTTCAGGCCCCAGCTAGGAAAGCGCTCCCAGCCCTACTGTAACTTTTGTAATTAAAGACAAATTAGATCAACAATAGATGGTTGTGCTTCCCTCCAGGAGATGCTTGGAAGGAGTTGTCTTAGCAAATGAACTGATTGATGAGGTATTTTCTGTTCACACGGTACAGAAAACATTATGAGACAAAGATGTTGAGCGCAGACCTGGCTTGCTTTTTAATTCGCCTTTTTAGTTGAGTTTTGTTTTGGGAGAAGGCCTCCCCCTAAGTACTGGCAGGAGCAGCAAAGGAGCAGTTAGAGGACAGCAAAGTGGCCTTTGGTAAGCTTTGACGTGGGTGGTGAGCTGCCTTTGTCCTCTGATTTTTGGCTGGCTGCTGTTCTATCGGTCAGATAATAGTAATTTATGGGTTTATTTTCTGGTGGTTTCTTTCCTTGTTGCCCTTCTCTGTTAGGCGGCCTGTCCTCTGGACAGCTTTCAATGGGCGCTGCGGGCTGTAATTCATCTCTGAAGCTGGGTGCTTGTACATCTCACCCCTCCGCTTAACTCTTTTTCACCTGCCAGTGCTGGGACTTCTGCTGTTTGTCATCCAAAACCTCTGCAATGTGCAGGGCAGCCACCTTCCCCCGTGGAGGTGATGTAGCTGTGATATTGCCGGTGTGAATCTGTGACTGGGCCTGGACTGAGCTTTACAAGGCCGTGGCTGACAAGGCAGCCTGCCTTACCTCTGCCTGGCTGATAGCATTTGTCAGCTCATACCTCGTACACCCTCATCTGAACATGTCCTTTCGGCGCTGAGTAAAGCCCTGTTGCTTGTTTGGCAGGGTGTTCTCAGGAACGAGCTCTGGCATTTAACGTGCCTGACTCTGACAGGCTGCTCTCGGTGGGGTTTCCGTTATCTTGACCAACCGGTTGTCTAACCCCACTGCTTGTCTCCTGAGATGCTGAAGGAGCCGTCTCTCAGCTATTAAGGGATTCAGGTCAGGTGGGACCAGCACAGACACAGCCATGTCCCAGCACAACCCCCAGAGAGCTTGGGAGAGAGGAGCTGCGGTTGTCCTTTTGACATCTTCCATGCCAGGAGCTGCCTTTCAGCAAGGATGGGACAAACCTCAAGTGTCTCTCTTTCCCCTTCAAAAGGAAAGGATCAGTGTCAGGCCCTGGGTAGCAGCCGCTCCTGCTGCAGGAGGGGGGGGAAGGCAGCAGGACCAAGGGACCGCAGGAACGTGCCTCTTGGAAGAAAAGCCAAACCCACCAGGAAGAAGTTTTATTTTTACACACTCATTATTTCTCTTGCGCTCACTGACACTGGGATTTGCCATTGCCTTTAGTTTTTCTGTAATAAACAAGCAGTTGCCATGGGAACCCTGCTATTAGTTAAGGCACATGGGGAGAACAGCAGTAATATTTCTTGTGCCGGGGAACAGCTCTGCTCCATGTGGTGGAATGTGGGTGGGTTTCTGCACCGGGTCAGGCGGGACGGGGCGTCAGGGGGTGGGGAGCAATAAGCAGCAGGGCTTTCCTTCTTCTGAACTCTGAGTTCTGCAGAAAAAAATGTAAAGCATCTGGGTGGAAATAAGAAGTGTGATCGCTGAGCTATTGCACTGTATGGCGTGAGGGCTGCCTGCTGTTCTGCTTGGTCTCCAGTGATTTCTCGCATTGCAATGTGCTCTTGTCCTGTTACCAAGCAATGCGACGTGCTGGGCTTGGCGCTGTCGGAGCAGCGGCTGGGCAGGGCGATGCAGCGGGTTTGGCCAGCGTCTGTGTGCTGAAGGCCACCAAGGGGAGCAGAGAGGAGCGTGCTAGGGCATATCAAGCGCTTTGCAGGCCACCAAGGGGGTTGTCCAACTTGTCTACAAGTTTGGGCAGAGCCAAAGCTGCGTGTGTGCTGCTTCTGAAAGGGAGAGCAGTTGGGTCCAGTCCCTTCCTCCTGCTTGGAGATGTCCCTGCAAGTGCGGGCAATGCTGGGCAGGATCTAGCATAGGAGCTGCACTGAGTGAGACGCTTGGGTTGTGATAAAACTCTTCGTCTCTGACCTTCCCACTTGCAGTGACCGGGGCTATTGGCCTCCCCACTCCCTGGAGGTTGCATTTGCAAAGGCTGATGATACAGGTGTTGCAGGGGAGCTGTGTGCTCAGGCCACTCATCCAGCGCATCTTGGCTATGCTGGGTGTATGCGGCTGTTCGGAGCTGTTGCTGCAGGGTGTCCGTGCGTGCCCATGTGCTTTTTCTGTATTTTTGGCAGCTACAAGAAGTGCCAAGCTTTGTGTGTGCAGGGACTGAGCTCTGCCCTGCGATGGGCAGCGAGAGGGAGCACGGCTGGCTCTTCCCATCGCCGGTGTGCCCGTGCCAAATGCACGCATTTAATATTAGAGCTCAACCCCAGCCAAGTGTTCCTTTCCCCTTGGCCTCAGCACAACCTCTGCTGCTGGGGTTAAGTGCAGCCCAGCAGCTCTCCACCGTTCCCTGTGGCTCTCTGTGCCACGGGGCTCCGGTACCTCTGGCTTGGAGGTTGAACAATGTGTCGGAGGGATCGCAGGCTCTGGCAGCAGCTGCAGGGGTTCGGGCCCTTGATGGGTGACCCTTTCTCTGTGGGAATACTGCTCTTCTTGCAAGTTTCATCTCAGCATATTTTTTTTTATGAGCTTTTTTTTTTCAGTCAGCTGGAGATAGAGAGGGATAAATCTGTTACGTTCTCTGAAAGTACAGCTGTCCAACGACTCTTATTGATATATCAGCAACTGCTGGAACACCAGATTTATGACTTCTGGGCCCTAGAAAGTGCCAGCAGAAGGCCTGGGAGCTTTGGGAGAAAAATTACCTTAAAGGGAAACATTGGTGCAGTGGGTAAAATACACTCTTATTGGCAGCAGAGGAAATGAGAGCAGACAGGGCTGCTCCTGTGGTGTGAGTGCCTTCGTGTCATTAATATTTTCCTCTTGTGCTGGTCCTCTCTGAACTGCTGAACGGCAGAAAGGAAGGCAGCTAAAGTCACCTCCACTGATTCACTGAGGCCTTCTCCAAATAAATCCTGACTTCCAGCATTTTTAAAGGATTCATGGAGGAAGGAGCTGTTCTAAAGCGATGGATTTTATGAATCCAGGAGGCCAAAAAAGGATGATGACCAAGTCGGACTGGAGTGCATTTTCTGAGGGAATTGGGCAATGGGATGGTCAGAATGATTCTGACAGCCGACATTTGGATTTTATAGCAAAAAAATACATACTGCTGTGTATGGGTTGTTATTACCAGTATTTATTTATAGTCCCCCACCTCTCCCAGGGAGCTTTGGGGAAGTAGTGAAGCTGTCTTTAAGACAGCAAAGCCCAAAGGCAAATCTTTGCTTTGAGGACTCCCAGCCAGAAGCACAGCATCCCTGCGTGTCACAGGGCTGCCCTCGCTGCCCGACTCGGCTCCGCAGCCGCTTTCCCTGCAGGTGCGAGGTCCCGTTTCTGCCGTGCTGGGAGGGGAAGGCTGCGGGCACAGGAGGAGCTGGTGCCCGGGGGAAGGCTGGGTGGGCAGCGAGGAGGGGGCCTGGCAGCCTGGCCCCTGCACAGCACTTCCCAGCAGCACGGCGTGCACGGGGAGCTGCCCGCCAGGGCAACTTCAATAACACTTTGCAATAACGCTGGCAGCCAGCTTTAATATCCTCAGAGATGTTAACTCCAGAAAAGCACTATTTTGGGTATTAATTTTTTTTTTTTTTGGATAAAATATTTTGTGTAGTAAAGATCGCTGCCTGAATACAGGAGCATCTGCAGAGGTCCTTGGCAGAAATGTTTGACAGCTTGTGCTCGCCTGCACAAGGGGAGGGATACCCATCCTCCTGCCCTGGGCAGTGTTAAAGGGTTTGTAACTCTGCGAGCTGTGTGTAGTGAATTTTCGGGCTGATGCAGAGAGATGAATGGACAGCTCTCTTTGCTACCATGTGGTTGTCACCTTGTACCACTGCACCCATGTCCCTCCGGTGCCCAGCAGCACCGTTAGGCTGGGCACTACGAGTAACACGGCGTGGGGGCAAAGTGGTTTGTTCAGTAGCAGAACGGGGAACTTGTTTCTCATGTGAATGTGAGCTTATAAATACATACTGATCGATATAAAGAAATAGTTGGGGCTTCGTTTTTCTACAGTAGAGGCTGTGGGTTGCAGCATTGCCTGCTTTGTATCCCACATGAGCCAATATTGTACTTTCTACCAGGAATTGTGACCCACTGTTTGAAATGGCTTCTGAGCTGCCAGGAGAGCTGGTATCTGCCCTGGTCAGATGGAGAAATGCTGTAGGTGCAATCTCTCAAACAAAAGACAGTTGTTTTCCCATTACCTTCCTCCTCAGCCCCATCATTTCTGTTCAGACATCAGGCCATTACAAAAACCCAGGAGTTGGAAAAAACCTTTCCTATTTTACCCAGAGCAGCTGGCAGTTGAGTTATCTTTTACACCAGTATAAGCAGGAGAGGTGTTTGCATAATTGCATGGAAAAGTGGAAACAACCTGACAATTTGGGAAGTTGTGCCTGGCAAAATGAGGCTTCTTCAGCTCTTGTGGAAACTACAGAGGGTGGAAAGCAGAAGGACTAGGGCCAGGATTCAGGACAGAGGAAAAAAAAAAGAAGGAAAAAAAGTGGCCTTGAAATGGGAGAACAGTCTCCTTGAGAAACAGGAGCGACCCTTGCCTTTTAAGCCTTGGGGGCATAGAAGTAATACAGTTCTGGGCAGTGTGCTGATAGGGATGAGTGCTGAATGGATGATGAGTTAATAAGGCTGGTTCTTTGTGTAATTGCTGCAGGGTTTTTTATTTGATGTGCTCAGTATTTATCTGGTGTTTTCCTCATGGATCCTCGAGCCTCTGCAGAGGCCCTGCTGCACTTGAAATGCAGCTTGGAGGAAGCCAGCCCATCTCCCCACGTCACACAAATGTGGATGCTCTTAGGGTGCAGCCAGGACCCCTACACCTGCACCTGAGCTGGAACCAGCCTCGTACCCAGCCCTTAACGTGTCACTCCCGCATGGGAGACGGCAGACATCTGGAGGAGGGAGCTTGCTGCGTGCCGGCATGGGGGTCAGCGGGAGCAGAGCCTGGCTCCCAAACCAGCCAGACCGCAGGGCTCTTGGCTTTGCAGCAGGGAGCTTTGGGCAGCAAAGCACGGCACAGGAGCGGTGTAGTCCCTGTGGTCCCAGTCAGGTTTAGGATAGGAGCCCTGGTTGTCTGTGTATCTACTTCAGGTGCTGGCGCCACTGGAGTGTGTGCAGTGGAGTTATGAATCATCAGTAAAAAGTAAAAGCACATCATGTTTGAGAGGAAGAGTGAACAGCTGTGGGGGAACTGCAGGTAGGGCTCCTTTTGGAGAGGGAGAATGTGATCAGCGAGTCAGCATTTGTTCATGTTTTATTTGGATCCATCTGGCACCCTCTTTGGTAAGTGTTATGAACATTGTGAATAACTGTCTTTCTCCTCCCCTCGATCTTTTCTGCAGTGGTTTCTAGCGACAGTGAGAGCGACTCGGAGTTCAGTTCTTCCAGCCTGGATGGCAAGCCCTTACCTGCGGGGTCAAAATGCTCACAAGGCAGAAAGCACCAAGCAGGACTGGGTGAGGAGTTGCTGTTCCTTGTGGCTGGAGGGTGGGAGGTATAAAGTTCTTGAATATTTGGCTCTTGGTCCTATGGATTTTGGCTCAGCTGCTTGCCTGCCCTATGCCAGTGCAGCCCACTGGCTGTAGCTGTGCCAGGTGAGGATCTGATCCTTTCTTACTGGAATAATATTAAAGGGTCAAACAGGTGGTGGGTCACTCCACCTGCCCTTGCCTTGCACCTGTCCGCCTGGCAACACATCTCCAGCCAGCTCCTCACCCCTGACTTTATAGCACTGGAATTGCCGGTGCCGTTTTTACAAGCGGAGCATGGGAACTCGGTTTTGACCCTGCTCCTGAGGATGCCTGGCTGGGAGCGGGGGGGCTGCTGCTCTCTTAGGACCTGGCTTAGCATCTACATCCACTTCTCGCTCCCACAGCAGCATCTCTCTGTTTTGTCCCTGCAGCACCCATTGGGGAACCCAGCCAGGCCATGGGCAGGGTGCTGGGGAGCACCCATTCCCCTACCCTCTCGGGGAGCCGCAGCAGCCTGGGCAGCGAGCAGGGGGCTGCCCTCAGTGCCACAGAGAGCTGCCAGAGCGACCAGCCGGCTGATGGGCGCGACAGCGATGTTGGCAGCAGAGTCCCTGGTAAGCTGAACCTCCTCTCCAGGCAGATCCATGCTTTTAGGGCTGACTTCCCTCGAAGCACAGCTTTCTCGGAGACACACCTGGCAAAGCTGCGGCCTGGGATCACCTTTCCCTGCTGCTTTCTCATGGCAGATGCTGTCACAGCATTACAACTCACTCCTTCCCTGTTCCCTGAGTGCAGAATCTATTCTGCAACATGAGTAATCGTCTGGGGTGGGAGCTGCCTCCACCCACCTCCAAGAGCACCCCTAGCCTGGGTCTGTCCCCCTGCAAAGGCCCGGAGCTCCGGTCTGCCCTGCAGAGGCAGCAGAAGAGATCGAGCTTTTACTGAAGCAAAGCAGAAGTCCAGCAACTTTATGAGACTGAATAAAAATTTTGCTAATGTGAAATGGCTCTTAAAGCTGAGCATGGCTCTTCCCAGAGCTCTGCAGTACAAAAAAAAAAAAGACACTTTTTCCCCCTCAACAACCTTGGAACAATTAAGTGACTGTGAGAGCAGAGGCTGCTATCACATCTGATCTGGAGCAGCTGAAAGAGATGCAAATGTGTTCTCTCTGCAGTTCCCGCTAATCTATTCAATAACCCCTTAAGTTATCGTTTAGCACTGCTCCCTCCAGAGCGTTCCTGCTGCCCTGTGACCTGCCACTCCTTTTGTTGCTGAGCCTGTTTTGTGCTGTGCATGTTGAGGCGTAAATTGGATTAGAGAGAGCAGGTTTATCCTTTAGTGCAACATGGAGTCATAGTCCCCCTCCCAAGCTGCCTGCTAGAAATAGCCAGCATAAAATTGTTTCTCTGCTCTTCCCTCCCTCCCCAAGTTTCAGGGATTTGCAGGTTTCTTTAATTTTAGTTTTTGCAAAACAAGTCAGATGAGTGATACTTCTGCTCTGTCCATCCTCCCTCTGGATTACAGTGCTGCCCCAGACAGGGCGGTTTATTTTAAGCCCGTGTTGGCTGTGGCTTTAGCAATGGCTGATTCCTGTTGTGCGTTGGCTCTGCTGCTTGCCGGAGGGGAGCAGCAGGTTGTCCTGCGGGATTGAAGTGGGTGGTGGTGGATAGCAGGTGTGACCCCTTGGGTGCTTTTTCTGCTGCTCCTACGTGGCAGTGCTGAAGTCTGGATGGAGGCACACCTGGGCGGTGTGTTTGTACAGCGCTTAGCACTTTGGAGCTTTCCTGCCAGCTGTTTGAACTAACTGCTGCCTGGCCATGACAGTGCAAATGATATCTCAGAGGCAAAAAATGCCTTTTTCCTGCTATAAACCTTGTATGCAAAGCTTGGCACGAAGGGTCAATGCTTTTCAGTGGGATTCCTCCTTGCTAGATGGGGGAGAACTAAAAATGACAGGCAGCATGAACATATAATACAAAAATGAAAACTATGGCAATCTCCTGAGCCCAGTTAAAATAGTCCCTGAGATGCAGAGAGGATCCTGCTAAGGAAAAGGTTAAGCCAAGCTGGCTGACTAGAGAGTATCTGTAAAGGTCTTTATTATGTCTGGGGTCATTTATTTCCCAGTCTTCCTGCAGAAGGGGCTGCTTTGCTCAGAGGTGATGCTTGCAGCAGCGAGTGCCTTGGCAGAAGGGCTCCACGGCCCCCAGAGCCAGGGGAGGAAGGCAGGGAGACAGAAGCGAGTATTTCTGCTCGTGTCTGCTGGGGGGGGAATGGAGCCGGTGGTGGTGGCAATCAGCAGGCGTGGGCTTGGGAATGGAGGGAGGGTGGCAGTGGAGCGGGCAGGAGTCTCTGTGTCATTGTCATGTCCGGGAACCAGGCACCAGCCAGGCATCCTCCTGGGCCGGGGAGCTGCTACGGCTCGCAGCGAGTTAGGTGGCACTACGGCTATGGCTCTGCGACTGCAGGAGGTTGAAGGATGGCCTACAGAGCGCCTGGCTTGTCTTCAAGCCTGTCCTGTGCCGGTGTTACGCCCTTCTGCAGCGTGGGTGCTGGCGAGGACTGGTGTGGCAGCGTTAGAGACTCTACCAAAGATATCTGCAAGGAGGTGAAGCTGGAAACTGAGCATGTTGTGGGAGGCACGTGATGTGCCCGTGTTATGTTTTCCATGGCTGTATGCTCTGTCCCACAGTGTGGGTCATCTTCAGCACTTCAAGGTGGGGAGGAGAGAGGGGAAGTGAGTTTGTTATCCCTCCCAAGGGTCTGGGATGTGACCTTGCCTCCATGCAGCGAGTGAGCAGCAGGAGTAAGCATGCTTGTCGTCCGTTTGGTCTGAGAGCACTCAACGTACCCAGCTGGAGAGATGCTGCCACGATGTGATCTGTGCAGCAAACTATTGGCAATCACGATCCATTATGTATTAATTTAGTAATTGGCATTATGCAGTGGTACGACTCGTGTGGCCTCATGTTCTGTGGAGCTCTGTAGCAGGTGGTTTGAGCAGATCAGACATCCAGGAGGCTGCAATACTGAATGCCCCTATACTTTGCCAGCAGCAGGGCAAGAGCAGAAAAAAAACAGAAGAGCAAAACCAGCACTGTAGTCCCCTGGGAAGCGTCCTTCTCTGCAGAGGGGTTCACATGCTCTGGGATGCTGGCGGTCTGGGATGTGCAAATGCTGGGAGCCTTGAGGCAGGTGGCAGTGCCTGTCCCCGTCTTTAGATCAGTGCTTTGTCTGTCTACGAGGGGCTTTTCATGATGAGTCCCTCTGGATGCCACTGTTTGCCAGAAAGCAGAGACTGCCCTTGCTGTTCATCTCTTTAAAAAGTGGGGGAGGCGATGGGTGCTCTGCGTCAAGACTGGCAAAACTCTTCACGGCATCTCCCTGCCTGTGCTCTGCTCTAACCCAAAAGCAGAGCAAGGGGCAAAGATCCTTTCTCATTTAAGTTGCCGATCCTCAGCTGCAGAATGGGGACATTAAAGGGCGATTTTGCTACAGCTTTTCTGAAAGGCTCTGCAACTTTATAACACTGTGTTGGGAGCAATTTTGGTTCATATTAGCACCTCAGGTGTTGTTCTACCGGTGGCTTTCTTTTCGCTTCTTTTTCTCACCTCTGCTCTAATTCCGCTTTCAAGTGCAACTTTGCAGAACACTTTAGCATCCTTAAATCCCAGGCCACAGCCAGAACAGGGAATTAGGGAGTGGTACTGCAAATGCAGCTGCTCTCGTAGTCCTGAGCTTTTTAAGCCTGAAGGCCAAGACGACAGCATGGTGGTGTGGCCGAGGGAAGAGAAGGAGCCATTAAGAAGGGTTTGTAGGTTTCCAGTGTGCTGCTCCAGCTCCAGCTGGGGTTTGGTGAGGCAGATAATGAAGCCTGGGGTTTGTCATAAAATGACTCATTGTCAGAGCTGCATTGGGATTTAGGCAACCTCAGCCCTTGAGCCAAAGCTTCAGAAGAGAGTGGTGAGTTGAGAGGCTGCCAATTTTTTAAATTTTTTTTTTTACCACCTGCTTTCAAACCCTTTCAAAAGCATCATTTTTCTGAGGGTCTGGTGTTTCTTCTTCTTCTGAAGATCTGGTTCCTGGAGGTGCCCACTCTGACATGATAGCTGTTAAGAGGAGGGTCATGCACTGGTTTTCGTGGAGAATGTTTTATCCTAAAATGAATGAAATTTGCACACGGGCAAGAAGCAGAATCTTCCTTTTTCCCCTTACTTGCCCCTGGCTATGGAGGTGACTCACCTTGTTCTGGCTGTACAGCTGATATGTTAAGAGATACCTCAGTTAAAAAAGAGCAAAATCCTCATTATTGTTAATTATGACATTTTTATTAAAGAAAGGGAATATTAAACAGAATTAAACAAAGAAATCATCAATATCTTACAGGGATTTTCATTAGCCCATGGAGAGCTTTTAATGGAGGTGACATCTTTGAGCTTGGACCTGGCTACTGCAGGGTAAATTAAGAGCAAAAGGCATCTCTCCTCAGATCAGTAGCGAGTTCTACTCTGATGGGTCCCAGTTAATGGGGTCCTCAGTGTCTTCTGAGGACCTTGTCTCAGGAGCGGGTCAATCCTGTGTGGTATTCTGTGGGTCACCTGAACGGCTTCCTATTAGGGGATGGTGAGTGAGCTTGGCATGGGCCGTGGGGCTGGAGAAGGCTCTAATTCGTGCTTAAAAGAGGAGGTTTGAGAAACAGCCACAAGATAAGCTAATGAATGAGTAGTGTACGTCTAAGTGCAAATCACAGTCTCCCCATCTCTGCTTGTTTACCGATGTGTTGTCTAAATCATTAATACTTAAAGAGCGGTACAGCAGCTGGCAGTTAAACAGAGCCACGTTAAACAGTGGTGTTGCTGAGTCTGGGAGCTGAGACGATGATGGCAGCGCCTGGTGGGGTATAAGAAACGTTGTGGCTTACGATCACAGGGTGAGACCGGCCGGAAGGACCACCAGAGGTCTGCGGGTCCAGCCTGGACCTTTCTCCCAGCTGGCTGAAGCTGCAGCTTCTAGATGCCTCCCTTTGGCTGCTTGCTTTGTAGCCGTTGTGCTGGGAGAGGCTGAGCAGAGCTGAGAAAAGGGCCTGGAGCTGAGAGAGATGGGCAGGAAATGCTGCTTCCAGCTCTCTTAATGTGGGGAGATCTATGCCCTGTCTGTCAAGAATTGACTGGATTTAGAAATGAGGTGGTGTCACTCTCTCTGTGGCTCAGTGCCTCCCCGGCTGGGGTAGGCATCAACTTTTGCTCATAAATATGCAAGCTGTTAATACATGAGACAGGCAGAGCCATTCTGCATTATTTTAATGGCAGGAAATTCTCAGGGCATCTTTGAAGTTAAAGCATTAACTTCTTTTTTTTCTTCCATTCTGTTTCTCAGATGTCTGTTTTGCTCCCTCAGGGACGATGAGGAGGTAACATTTTGCTTCAGTGGGTCTAACTACTCCATTCCATGTAGGAAAAAAAATTGTCCTAACAGTAATTAGGCTCTGAATGGGATAGTAATTTCTTTAATGACTTTGTTCATGGCAGTCTTTGGGGAGCTGACTTTTGTTTTCCTCTGCTTGGTGAGAAGGTTGCTCAAATGTTTTCAGGTTGCTCGCTCCCTCATCCATGTGAGCTGCAGCCAAACAGCGTGGTCTTCTGGGGCTGGCTTTGAGGTGGGGTGGAGTAGGTGTGTAACCGCGCAAGGGAGCTGGGCTCACAACCCCTGCTCTTCCTCCCTCTGCCTTCGGCCTCTGCCTGCGCTGAAGGCACAGGTTAGGAAGGAAGGGGGGGTCAGATGTGGAGGAGAGACCCTCCTCCACACTCAGCCTCTCCCCTCCAAGCCTCTGCCTCCTGCGCTGGCTGCCTCATCAATCTTTGGGCGCTGCTGTTTGCCCCTCTTTGCTCAAAGCTTGCTGCCACTGCCATGGGATTTAGTTTTCCTGCTGCCAAGGAGGATGAGTTGTCCCTTTTCCACAAAGTGAAAAAATTGAATTGTGCCTTCATGGCTGAGAAGCTTTGAGCTGTCTCTGCCTCCTCATATTGGTACTGCAGAGCACCGAATGGTCCTGCTGTATTTATAAAAAAATATGTCTTCGGGTAGTGACAGCATTAGGAAATGATTCAAGGTTTGCATTCTAGATACAATGCATTTGTAAATATGAACCTCAGGAGAAGCATATGCCCCTTGCCATGTTTTAAGGAATTAAAATACTTTTGTCCTCAAGTGGTAGAACCAAAATATTTTCAGCTCTTTTAAGCCCGCCTTGAAGTTAAGTGAATAAAGGCTCAAGTACCTAAAAAATAAATTACTTTCACTATTTCTGTAATTCTTTATAGAGTTTTAAATTGAAGACTTTTTCCTTGAAAATAGAGAAATGACAAAGACTCATTCTCTTGCCTCTTTCACTCAATAGATCTGGAAACAAGTCTGCTGCTGAAGATGAAACTCCTATTTTTGTGCCTTCTTTCACACTGCAGAGGTCTGTGCTTTGGTCTTTGATCAAACAGCCTGTCTGGCCTCCTGCCCCCACGTCCTTAGACTTATTCTCTGCCCTTTGCAATACGTTTACTCCTCACGCTTCCAACTTTCTATTCAGTATTTTGGACAAAGCACTGAGGGCAATAGTTGATGTCGTCTTTCAAAACAAAACATAAAGGAAAGAGCATGGGAAGTCAGTAATATAGAAGGCAAAAGGCTGGATTTTGGAGTCTTTGTAAACACATTGAGAGGTTTTATGGCTCGGGAAGTTACCTGTCGACTGAGACATCAGGCAGTAGCTGGTGGGAGGAATTTGCAGGACTCCCCATGCCTTGGACATTTCATATGAATGCAGTGACTGGAAACGTCTCCTGTCCTTTCTCCAGGAGTCAATGTAATTTGTGTCTCCTTCAGTCCAGAGAAGGGGGAGAGAAGTTAGTGCTGACCCCCCCACTGCCTTAAAGGACTCCGTGTTGCCAGCCCAGCATTTCACCCCATGTGCTGGAAGCAGCGTGTCCCAGCGGACCCCGGGTTTTGCCAAGGGCTGCTGGAGTGACTCGCTCAGGTTCGTTTAGTTGACGTGAGCCAGGGTGCCTTCCGCAGCAGAGCGTTGCTGTCCTGTGCCCATTCCCAGCCATGGGCAAGGACTGTGTTCTGCAGTGGCTCCTGGCCATGGCCCAGGCGTACGGAGGGCAGGAGGGTCACGTGGAGGACCTGCTCTGTGGCACATGGGTGCCATGACCTGGTTTGGAAACCTCTGAGAGCTGAGGCTTGGCTTTCTCTCTGACTTGGCCCTTTGAGGGAAGCATGTACCAGAGGACCAGTTCTAGCAGTATAACTCCTTCTTTCTCCTTTCCCTATTTCTTTCCCCTGTCTTTTCTTTCTTTAATAAAGTTTAATGGGCCCTGACTGCTGACAGAGTGTGGAGTAATGATGCATAGATGTTCTCTTCATTATTATTTTTAGGAAGCTCATAAAATGGCACTGAGCATGTGAAAGCAAGGTAAAATAACTTTGTCAAGTCTCTCCCCTTCACTGCTTTCCAAACAAAACTTTTGTATTTATGTATTTTGAAGGCAAACGGCGCGTCCACACCAGAACGCGATGCTGACAGAGATGAAGATGGAGCTGCTTTGCCTGGATCCAGTGCTCGCCTCTTGCCCTCTCCTGTAGACCTCGCTCCAGATGACGACTGCTGCCGGTGGTGACTTTATGATGCTGGCTCTTGCACAGGCGTTAGCAACACAATAGAACCTGGGAAGGCACCTACCTGTCCTCCCTGCCTCACTGACCTGGTTTATGGTTTGGTCTGGTTTCCCCTTCTGCTGACTGACATGCACCTTGGGGTGCTGCTTGGCGAGGGGTGCTGTGCTGCTGTGGGGTTCAGACACATGTTTATTGGAAGAGGCACACAAAGTGCTCACTGGAGCTGAAGAAATGTGTGCTGCCTCCGCTGTTCCTGGCTTACCAAGCCCAGCCCTGGGTTCAGCTTCTGGCCTTGCAGTCCTGGCTTTGCAGTCTTCAGGAGAATGGGAAATTCACCCCTATGTCCTTGAAATGGGGTGTGAGGAGACTGCAGCCCTTCTACTGCTGCTCAGCCCAGGGGTGAATTTCCCTCTGTGAACCCCAAGGGTGAGACCGGGGCTCCAATTTGCACCAGACTCCCATGGGCTCAGGATGTCACCCGTTGTGTTTCTTGTGATCATTGTTCTGGTTTGAGTTGGTCTGAGTTTGGCGGGGGCATCGTGAATCAGCTGGTGAAGTTGTGCTCCCATTCACTTCCACTGAGGTCTCTCTCTGTGCTTGAGCTGTCTGCTCAGGGAGACACTTCAGTTAGTAATGAAACACTCAAAGAAGATCGCTATGAATTTTTCAGTCCTTCTGGCTGTGCACTGGCTTGTGTGTCCCGTGGTGAGGGTGATGCTTTGGCAGTGGGATCATGGGCAGTGTGTGTGTGCTGTGGGTCCTAGTGGGAGAACACCCACCACCCCACGGCCCAGCTGGCTGCCTTGGCATACTCAAGTTGGATAAAAGCTATAAATTACTTTATCTTGTTAAGCTCTGCAGATTCTCCTCCCACATGCGCACCTTGTCATCTCTTGCGTGAGTGAGGGCCCTTTGTTTTGCCTTGTTCCTGCAAGTCTTGAGCATCTGGCTGACTGTGATGGTGTCATCATGAGTCAGGCTGTAGAAAGCTGCAGGCCTCGGTCCTGCTTATTCTCTGGGATGGACAATTTCCCTCCAAGACCTGACAGATGAGAAAAAGCAAATTACCTGACATCTCTAGAGCAATTAGATCTTTGAAGGCCTGAACAAAAGCCACACTAGGCAAGTAGGAGTCTGTGGATTTTATTAAATGCTTTGGATCTGACCCATCTTTTGCTGAAGAAACAAAGGATTCCAAAAAGTTCCCTCTGAAATCATGGATTTAAAGGCAATTTGTGCCTGTTAATGTCAGCCTTTTCCCTTGGTTATTACTCTTCTGTTCTCCTTTGCTGCTGGATCCTTTGTGCACATGTAGTATTTGCTCTTACAAATGGCTGTAGTATGAAGATAAATGAGATTGGGTGCTGGAACACTCTAACAGGAGATCGGAAATCAATCCTTGACTTTCTTTCTAAATGAACGTGGTCCAACAGAGGATCGTTCCCTTACTGCTTTTCCAGCTAACGCGCTATGGCAGGTTGCTGAGAAAATCCTTCCAGCTCTTCCTCCGTGATCTGTTTCTGCCCTTTTAAAAATGAAAACAAAACCTTTGGATGATGTGGGCTCTTTGAGATGGCATAAAGAGAAACCACTGAACGTGGGCTTCACAACATCGGTATTGATGACACCAAGGGATGAGGCTGTCCTCTGCTGAGGGATGCTTAATGTCATGGTCTGTGTTGTTTAAACCTGGCCATTGAGGCTTGACCAGCTGCATCTCTGAAAGGGGTAATGCCAAAATTATTAGCTGTTTCTGAAAAAGTAAATCCAAAAGTCAGCTTTTGCTGAAATGCCGGTATGATTTCAGAGCTGAAGTCGTGCTGTTTCTTCTGAGAGCTATAGAGTCTTCAATTTCGGAAGTGTTTTGCCACCAAGAAAGTCCTGTCTTGCCTTAGAGCTTTTGACAGTCCTACTGAGGCTGTCTTGCTCATGCCGTCATTACTGCAGTGCCTCAGACAGCCTGGCCTGCCAACCGAAGTTAATTCTGTAGAAGAAGGAAAAAGACACTTAAAAATTTACTCCATTTTCTTTAAACCTGTTACTTTCTCATCAAAAACTCTACACTGAATTGGAAAGAGTTTTTAAAATTGGGCATGTCATTTCTAGCTCTTGTATTTCTTGTGCTTCAGTCCTGGGCAGTACAGGCAGGTCAGTCGTGTTTTCACTCCCACTCTCGCTTCCCACGGCCACTTACTACACTGTGGGTTGGCAGCTCTGCACAGGAACCTGGTAATCCTTGCTGGCTTACTGTGCCACTTTGAGGCATGAGTTTGATTTTTAACTGAGACTAGGTTTTGTAAAACAGTCTCGGAGATAAATTTGGGACTGCTGTTGTACCAATGAGACTGGAAACCTTTCTTTCTTACTTCTATGTTTTACCTCCATGGAGTCATTCCACCTGATTTCAAACCAGAACCGTACAGTCATCTATGGAAAGACTTCTCTTGGGTCAAAGGAAGGATCTAGCCACATTTGAATGTGATAGAGGAACATCTGCGGCTCGGTGCAAATATTTTCTATGAAAGACCACTTTTCCCCTTGTTGCGTCTCTCTTGGTTGTGTTTTGTAGCTTTCATTGGAATATTATCCTAAACTTGTACCAGTTGACTGCCTTTTGAGTTGGCTCAAGGTGGGCAAGAAGGGCTCAGTAATAGTGCTCAGTCTGGTCTGATCGTTTGTGTTTCTTTTATTATTTTGCTGTTCTCATCTCCATCCCTTACAGCTTTTATATAGTGTTTTACTACTGGAAACAATAAAGCTTTGGCTTAGAAACAACTGCTTGCCATTCTTGAAACAGTAAAAAGTTTTTTTTCCATTCCCAGGTTGCAGATACTCTCCAAATCCTTGGGCTGGCTCCAATGAGGAAAGAAAATAATCCAGCCAGTGGAATGGTGATTCACACAGTTGGAGCGTAATTGAATTCTGCACTTGAAAGTCATCTTTTGTCTTGCCCCTCTTTGGTACCTTGTGCTGGTGCTGGCAGGGGGTACAGGTCTGCTCCTCAGCCCCTCCGTGGAAGGTTTTCCGTGTTGTAACCACTAAGCGTAAAGCAGCACCGATTGTCATTCTGTCAAGTGCCATCCCCACAGCCTCCCAAGGCTCATCACTCGCTCCAGTTTGACAATCGGAGTCCATTTAGCTTTGCCTACAGAGAAGTGTCTCCGCATTGTTTGCCGAGCATGTGCAGCCCTGGCTGCTCGGCGTTCCCTTCCATTCAGCATTCAGCTTCAAGGTTTCAAATGGCTTTTTAATCTGTTTTTGCTTTTCCCAGTTGAAAAGTGCCTCAATAATTGCTGTTGGGATTGTTTAGCTGGGGAGGTGCCATTAGTCGAAGGTTGGAGCATGTCAAGGACTAACCACCTCTTACGTTGTTTCTTTCCTCCCCTCCGCTTGCCATGACAACAATGAGTATATGGGAAAGTTGACTGTGGGATCTCTCCGAGTCAGAAACACTGGCCATGAATTGCTAAGTTTCCCTGTTTGCTTTTTTACAGCTGTAGTTTGAGGAGAAAGGGGATGCTTTCTCTGTGGGAGCTATGTGTAGTAGGTCAACGTAGCTGAAGCAAATGGGCTACCAGCTGGTGTTTCTGGCCATTACTGAATCAGACAGCAAATACCCTGGACTGCCAGGTGGAGTGCTTGGGCAGTGACACAAAATGGCAGATAACCTCTGCAGGTGGCTGAAGTTCATTTGTAAAATAGAACTTAGCAGCAGTTGCTCTGCTCTCCTCCCTACCCCTCCCAGACGATGTTTCCTTCCAGGGGAGAGGGCTGGTGGCAGTGATGTCTCACCAGCCCACCTCTCCTCTTTCTTCCTGCCACTGCTCAAATTGCCTCGTTCCACTCCACGCTGGAGATTGCTCTTCTGATCATAACACCTTGTTTCTGCAGGTGGGTGTGATTGATGGAGAGTTCAGGGAAGTTTTTTTGAAGGGCTGATTCTGCAATCAAATAATGAGACTTTCAGCAGGTGCAAGATGGCAGGTGATGGGTAAGCATCTTGTGGAAAACTTCTATCCTGAGCTGCTCATTCATATTCCCTCCTGACCATTGCCTCTGACTAGCAGTATATGCAGGTAGCACTCGAAATGCCTGCGATGCTTGGGAGGCAGGTGAGGATCTTGCCATGTAGCTCCATGGCAGTGCAGACGGGAACACGATGTGTGCTGCCCGCCGGTGACCTGCGGCCGTGCACGCCGGCAACCATGCCCTTCCTTGTGCACCCCTGCCCTGCGCCTCTCTCCCTGCAGAAATATTTCCTCTCGTTATCTTCATAGCAAAACATGAAAGGAGCCAGCCCAGCCTGCTGGGCCCCACTGCCAAGCGGGCCCTGGAGACGCCTGCACAGCACCCAAGGGTGCTGCTCTGATCGGTGCCTGGGAGCTGCACTTTTGAGGGACGAATTCACATCCCCTCAAGGAGAGGGCTGTACACGTTCACCTCCGTGATTCGCAGAGGTTCTGTGGCTTTGTTTGAAGGCATCTGTTGCGTTTCTTTTTCCTTCCGCTGATTTCTGTCTGGCACTGGAAGCTGTTTGTAAAATCTTGGAGGGATTATTGCTCTTGTTTTCCCTGACTGGAATGAGTGGATCTAAAACATGATGTATTAATGTTTTGCCAGGAAGGATGGATTGTGGTTTTGAAGTGTTTTTGTTGTGGACTGTATCAGTTTAACAGCAACTGTGTGCTCTGAGCCCTTTCTCAGCCCCCAGCTAGATACCGTTTCCTCGCAGGTGCTTCCCTGTTACTCTGTAGTTGACCAAATGCAGCAAACAAGCGTCACCACCTCCCTTTCTCATCAGCACTCCTAGCAGCCTAATCACTGCAAGCAGTTATTATCTGGGGCTGGAGACTTGCTGCTAATCAGGGCCTTATCAGGGCCATCTGGGCAAGGGGTGCTGGCAGA